ATATTAATTATCCTTATTAATTAAATGCAATTGTAGTATTTCTGATGTAAAAGAGTAAAGAGAATACAAAACATTTTTAAAATGAATTATTTATATTTTTATTACATTAAGTTTACCCTGAATCTCTTTTGATTCTGAACGTCGGATGAATGTAAATATTATATTTGGTAAAACATAGAGGTTATATGCCCTAGTTTTGTTTTCAGTTAAATAATAGTGCCACTGTTAAGCTTTAAAAATTTTTAGTAAATATGAATAATTTGTCCTTATAAAAATTAAAATTAAAAAATTAATTAAGAAAAGATATTCATTTTGCTATTTTATTTTTCCTGTTATGAAATTACCACTATTAAACTCAATCAGGGAGACCTCTCTGAGCTGATCATTTGGAATACCTACTTAGACGATTTTAAGAATAAGTATATATATATATATATATATATATAGATATATATATATATATACATATATATGTTATATATTTACTGTTAATATACTTGTAGTTAAATAGAGTTGTGGTGTATAGAGTTCCAATTGACGCGAGAATAAAGAAGATAAAGTGTACACAAATTAGAAAATACATTTCATTTAGAAAATATTTAATTCTATTAATCTTAAATTTATAATGGTTCTAGTAAAGTAAGGAACTGCCACTCGCAAATGGATTTGGGTTAATTGTGCAATGCTCTGAGGACCGTAAATTTTGTTAATGGTACATTCAAAGGTTTCGCGTCTTTACAAATCTTTCTATTTGAAATTGTCCAGTTTTATGGTGGAGATCTGTCCTAAAATCTTCCTATGAGTCAGTTACACAATTCATCTGAGTTTATTATGTTTTCGCTTGGATTGTTCATAAATTATATTTTCATGTGACAAGGCATTTCACTTTTTATCACTGCTGATGTATTTTTTAATGAACTCCATTGATTCTACGCTTTAGTATAATTAAATTTTTATCATTTTTATATATATTTCCATTTAATTTATGATACCCAACAAGTGTGTCATTCTCTCATTTGTTCAATCAATTTGAATTGAAAGCCTACAAATATGTGAATATGTGAATGAGCAAGTCTGAGCCCGTAAATATTTTAATTGATTTTCACGTGAACATGTGAAAGTTTTATAGTTTTTTAGTATTTTATTTATATTTTTAATTAAGAATTGTTAAAATTGAATAATTGACGAACTGTTTTGCAGCAAATCAATAAAAAATTTATTGAATTAATGGCATATTGATTAGAATTTAATAAAGTATGAGTAAAGAATAGTCGGAACGGAAGAGTTGGCTTCTCATTAAATACTTTGATTGCGGGGTATTTTGAGGTAGCAGTGCCATTTGAAAGGAATTATGTATATAAATAAAGGAATCCATTGAAAAGTGACACCTTAACGACCACATTTCAAGCAATAAAACACAACATCTTTCTAAAAAATGTGAAACAATCTGTATTTTATTTATATTTTTGACATTTTAATAAATTTTAATAATTTTTTATTTCATTTTTATTTGCGTTTCTTTTGCCAAAAGAGAAAAATAAACAATCAAAACGATAATTATCACAATATTTAATAAAAAAATAATATTTAGATATATTCATATAAAAAAACTATATGCATGAACGTATTATTACCGGATAGTGGAGCAGTAGATAATAGATAGTATATCAATTTGTTTACCTGTATTATAGCATTAGTTTCATTATTTTATTTTTTATAAAATAAACAAATTTAACAAATTTTAATGGCGGGTTGCAACATAAAATTAAATATTTGTAAACTTTAGGAAAGTGGAATTTGCTTCTAATTAATTAAATATAAAATGAAATGCGAAATCCTTTATGATTTATGTGGGCTTTTGCAAGTTTTACTGCTTTTCGTTTCATTTTGATAATAAAATTTTTAATTTATGCCTGCCGCCGTTCTAAGGTGACAATTTATAAATTTTCTAAAGCATAAAATTTTTTACGATCGATTTAATGTATATTTGAAACGTCTTCATCCGTCGGACTGGGCTTTCGAGTGGCAGCAATTAACCTTTCCAATTATAGCCTAAACATATAGTGAATATATGAAAATATGAGATACACGCCAAAACGTATTTTTGAAAGTTTTTAGTTTTTTTTTATAAATTTCTAATTTATGCAAAACTGCCAGAACTGTCACAATAACAGGTGTGCTCGTGTGATGCGGAGGCAGGTGTATGACCACCAGAGACTTGACATCTCCGGCGCTAGCAGCAGCACCACCTTCACGCGCCGATACTTAAATTTGGACCTGTTGGTTTTTCAGTTTTTAAATTAATGCCAATTTTTCAGTTCTTTTCGCTGTCAATCTATGCGACAGCATTTTAGTACCTCGACGACAGACGCACACATTGACAGCCAGTCATAGTTGTCAAATTGCTTTGACATTTCGCTATTCTGTTACAAATTTCTGTGCTTTCGTATGCTAAGCACAAAATTTTTTAATTACTTAAGTGCTTTTTGCTGTAAGCAAACGCCTTAACGCGTTTCTTTATCACTAGAAATCTAAAATTCTGTAAATGCCATAAATCATTTTAATCAAAATTACTCTCAAGACGTCATCAAACGTCATCGAATCCGCCTATCCATCGTATTGTGAGTGGAATTTTGGCCACCAATTCTTGAAGAAATTCAAAACTTATAAAAACCGTTTAATTAATTGCCTTGTACGCCACCACACTTCTACCGAAACTTGATTGATGTTACCCGTATTTGAGACTGCAAGTGTATACTTCACTAAATCCAATTATTTACCCAATAGTCTGTTGTTAGAAGTCTACCAATTCACTGAAGAAAGTAATTGAATCGTGCAACGAACTTTTATTAATTCATATTTCATGATATGAAAGTACATACTATCTATATGTGGGGCATGTACAAAACTATATTAAAAGTGCAGAAGTGCAGATACATTCACTACTTGTGTTGCTTCTACACAGTCAGTCACATGTGCACTTTTAAATTCCAATTCGTTTCGTTGCTTTGTATGAAACGGCACTGCCAAAGCGAAACAGCAGTTCAATTGGAAACGTAGCACAACTACAAGCGCAGCACTGCCTTAATCACGAATGCCTAAATGTGCCATATTGCAGCACTTTACATAAGTCGCAACAACCTGGCAAGTTACTTGTATTTACATACAGCATAACTGAACACACACAACCACATACTTCAACAGAGATAAGTGCACTGAAACCAGTAAAATATTATTTCACTGAAAGGTATTTTGATCAATAATAAAAACGGCAACAACAATATATGTACATATATATGTATGTATGCATGTATGTGATAATATTTAAAAATATGTGGGGACTTTGACTCGGCTGCGAGTGATGCACTCAATCATCGTGCCCGCATGTACGCCAAATTGTTGCTGTCATTATTGCTTGTTATTGGCTTTATCGTCTGTCTGTTTGCCTGCTCGTATCTGTATATTTGTCGAAAGCGATTAATTGACGTAAATTAAGGTAACGATCAAATGACTCAAAATGCAATAATACAAACAATCCATAGCGCACGTCAGAGGAGAAATAAAGTGAAATGATCACCCCCAGAGAAGTTTATTGTAATGAATATTCAACAAAAGATACAAAGCTGTTAATTTACATTCACTGAGATTTGCAGAAACGGGCAATTCTCAGTTCTTATATTTCTCAAGCTGCTTACATATATATAAAAAAAATTTTAAGAATTTAAAAAAAATTCCAAATCCTTTGTAAATATTATTAATACCAAGACTATCTGTGAATAATATATTGTTTTTTTCTTCTACGTTTCTTAATGTGATTTTTATTAAAAGTGATATTTACAGTATCTCAACACATAGAATAAGCATTCCACAGCTTCGTAGAAACTGTAGCTCAGCATTGTTCTTCTTAATTAAAATTCATGAGTCGCTTGACTTGAAACGCAGCTTAAGCAAGAAGGTTTCCATTTTACCTCGCCATATTTTCTACATATACACATTCCCCTTGAACCATGAAACGTTGATAAGACAGCAACTCCATTTTGAACCAAAAAAAAACTGTTTTCTGTTTCACTCTTTCTTTCCTCAATTCATTCCTTCTTTGTTGAACGAGAAATAGGCTTCTACTTTGTACTCGAGTTCAAGTTGACTTTTTCTGCAGATGTGTAGATGTGTGAATTTGCTTGTGTGTGGCTTTGAAGAAACCACAGCAATGCATGCGACTGTGTTCGCTGTGTACTTATGTGGAATAAAGTTATCTGATTGAAGACATATTCTCCGCTTTACGAGCAAATTTAACTAAAATTTTTTTTCCAACCTGTTGCAAAGCAGGAGTGTATGAGGTCATCACTTTAAAAATAGGGATCTAAAACTCATGAAATGAAATTGTAATTAAAAACAAAATAAAGCCAGTGCAGAAGCTCACATTTAGAGTAAATGGAATGATTTCCGGGAATGATTTCTTCAAAAAAAAAATTTTTATTATCGCGTAATTTGTTAAATCCACAACTTATCTATTTTTGATAAGTCATATATTTTAGCTTTCTTTATATTTTGCGTTATATTATTTTTATCATATATTGATCTTGACATAAGAGTTATATCTTAGTTATCTTATAGTTTTATATATTGAGTGCAAAATATTTATTACTTACACGTAACTTATTTGCCGAAAATTAACTTTCAAAAAATCCATAACATAGGACATAAACTTATGTTTTCGTAGAGGTACATCTTTTTCATTCCGTTAGAAAAAGAGATCATAAAAACTTGAAATTATAGTTACATGATATTGGTTTTATAAATTTTATAAAATTATTTAGGCTTCCTTCCTTTTTTTATAAACATTTAGGAATCACCAGAAAACAAGTTTTTACTTATTTTTTTTTTTTAATAATTGTTGACATCCTTTCAACTTCTTCTATAAAATATTTAATATTTATTTAAAATGTAATCGAATCAATATTCTTTATATTTAAAGAGCTATTATATCCCCCTAGTTCCTTCATTGGCGTCCACTTTACATCACCATCAAACAAATCCAAAAAGCAGCAGCAGTGCCGATGACGAGAACTCTACCGGACCGTCTGCATCTGTTGGTGCTACATCTCCACACACTGACTATATGATCAAATGTCCACAATGCTCAATTCGTCTAAGTGGTGTCGAGGTAAATATCTTGAACACTTTTTAATCCACAATAAAAGTGATTATATTGTCCACATCATATTCCACATCAAAATAATGTTTCTTTATAGGCATTACGTGATCATATAATCCATGACCATCCACACGATAAACTTAATTATGAGAATTATAGAACTTCACATGTGAATATTGACTCTGATGATAATGAGAGCAGTACCAGCGTAAACACGACGAAAAATAGCAACAATAACAACAATAACAATAACACAATCAAAAACAATAATAGTATTCAAAACAACGATAACGACAGAACATCTCAAAACTCTCCAAGTCTGTCGTCATATTCTAACATGATACCAACAACTTTAGCAACGCCGCCGGTGCATGCATCAACTACTGCTTCATCATTGTCACCATTACCAATACTCTCATCTGCACCTGATCTCAGCGCAACCACACCATACGCAGCACACCACAATCATCAAACATCCGCTGCAGCAGCAGCAGCAGCCATGCAACATCATCAACTGCCATCACACTTACCAGCTAATTTGCATCCTGTGCAGTTTATGGCTGCTCTGGCAATGCAAACAGCACAAAATGGTGCGTGTTCAAATGGTGGCTCAGCGTCGTCATCGTCCACCTCGTCGCGGACATCACCAACAAGCCAACTACTAGCACTAACGAATGGTCAGCACCAACACAATGTGCATCATTTATCTAATAATGCCGGTAACAGTTCCAGTTTATATGACTTAGACGGTGCACGTTTCACCTCGAGCCCCAGTTCTACACTTGGCGATAGCTCAGCGGGACACTATCAATGCATGCAGTGCACGGCGACATTCCAAACTCGCGATCAACTCGAAAAGCACGAACTTCTGCACTCTCCAAACGCGCAGGCGCAATCTCAGGGCGGTGCGAATCAAGTAAGTTCATCTTTTATGAAAAATGAAATAAAACAATTTGAAAATTACTGAAAATTACTACTGCAATGTAAATGACACGTTAAATGAAAATTTCTTTCCTCTTCATTGAGACCGTCACGCATTAGGACCGTTTCTGATTTATGCGATACATTTTTTATGCACTCCACAACAAAGGGCCCTCATTGTTTATTTACGCTAAGAAATATGAGTCAATTTTATTTGGTTTTTATGTTTTAAGAAGAATTTAAGTACTTTTCTGTTCAGGCTCAATAAATTTGAAGTCGTTATCAGTTCCAACAATGTTTCTTGGTCGCTTTTGTAAACTTGAGAAAGAGCAGGTTTGAGTCACCGCTTGGTTTTTAAATTCTGTTTTCAAAATTTAACCACAAATGAAATATACACAAATATTTAAAAACAAGCATATTTCGAAGTGTATAAGTATATTATATGTAACTACATCATATACAATCTACAATATGTCCAATAGGAAAAAGTCCAACTAACTTATTTCTCACTGATTTGTACAGAAAATACAAATCGAATCAAGTTAGCTCATATGTGATAAGTATAAATTAAATTGAATTCAAAATAAACATACAAAATTTCAAAACTATTAAAACTTTCAAAAATATACCACCGCATCCCTCTCTGAATTTTATATGTGTATGTATATATATCTCGAGAAGTCTGTCACGCTTGAACTGTAGAAGACTGCAAGTTCAGGAGACTGCAAATAGGTCTTCAACAACTCACACACGCCGCTAAAAGTAAATAATTTCAATGAATCTTTAACTTACATAAAGAAAAATAACTACATTCTATGCGAGAATGTTGTTAGCATGAAGGCAACTTCAAAATTTTTTTCAGTGTATTTTAACTAAAGATCATTGCATTGTGCGCCGTAGCACTGGCTGCGGTCCATAACAAAGAACCCGCATTGTTTTCTAGTAAAGGGAAAAAAGAGAAAAACAGAGCTGAATTATGGATATAGAACCGGAATACTTTACAACATTGATTCTTAGCAGAAAACTGTTAAATATTTTAATAAATTGCCACTTGAGCATTTGATTGAAGCCTCAAATGATTACAAAAATACAAAAAAAAACAAAACAGTATATGTTACTGAAATTAAAAAGCAAGCAAAAAAAAAATGAAAAGTAAATTAGACATCCGATAAGACTGTCTTCAAACTCTTTTCGCTCACATGTTTAATGCAAGCTATAAGTTTTATTTCTATTTACATTAAAAAACAATATATGGAATGTGTGGTTTGCTATAGAAAATATCGACTTAAAGAAAAATGCATTCCAATAATGTTTAGATTTTTTAGAAAAAAATTCCGTTTGGATAGGCCGGAGATAAGCACCAAACAACTTTTATCGCAACGAAAACTAAAACAAAAAACCCTGAAGTAATAAAAAATTTTTCATAATAACAACACCGTTCTGTTATCAACAACAATGAGAAGAAGAACAATAACAACTAGCTCGTACTGAGGAAAGTACGTTAGAACGTAGGCGGTAACTGGGTGATATATAAAAAATAATACAAACACTAAAATAAAAAAATGCTATCAAGGGACAGCAAACCACAAGCCTAAAGCAATTTTCTTACATCTCACAGACGAAAATCTGAGCTCCCCTCATTGCCCTTTAACCACTTTCAGTAAGATTTTACTAATAAACTTCAAACTTTACTAAGCTTTCATTACAGTAGCATTCGTACATATAATACCGCCTCTTGCCCTACCTCCGTTACCTTACTATCTGTCAAGTAAAGTCATTTAGTCAAAGTCTGTCAGTTGTGCTCATAACTCCCAATTGCGTTTCGACGCAATATCAGCAACAACAATAACAAACAACTTAAACATACTTTTGGTTAAGGAACATGTGATAAGGTAGAAATAATTTTTTTTGTAATGCTGATAAGACTCACACAAGCGCGTGCAAACCTACGCTTACGCACAGGCATATGTACGACGGTAGGGAGCCTACACATAAGTAATATGAAAAAAAAATTAAAAGAAAAAGAAAAAGAAAAAAGCGTAAAAAAACTTGAGTTGTTTTTCTTCGTTTTTTATTATTTTTGTGCTGTTGATAAGAAGGTGACGGTTGTGTAGTAGTCACAGTTATGGTGGCAACAATGGCGTCTCATATAATGGCATTTATATTGCCGCATGTGCTGCTGCGTAAATGCGTATTGGGTAAATTGAGCAAAATGAGAAGTACAACACCCTTTCCGTAAGATTGCCAACCGTTTTGCTGAAGGCTGTTAAAGGTACCACTGACTAAAGTCATAAATTATAATTTAGTTCTTCAATAGGAGCAACAACAAATGCTATACGTACAAAAAGTAAATTCAATATACAAACTGGTTCTACTACTACCGTGACACGGGGATGATACTGTGTGGGGAGCTGCCCAACACAAAAAACTAATAAATTCATATGCAATTTTTTATGTTGCTTCATAGTTTTTTATTTTTATACTGCTTCATAATCATAAAAAACTGTGATTGTTACCTTAAGCATGTCTGTGTTGGTCCACTCAATATGTGTGAGTGTACGTGTGAGCATACGATTAAAATGTGTAATATGCAGCAACAATAACTGCTTGTGTAGTGTAACTGACTTGACCATACAACATTTGCTGCCATACTAAACACCATAAAACAACAAAAAATAATACACATTCTGTGTACATAACTGCTTACACTGCCGTGCGGGAATCGGGAACGAATCAGTATCGAGGTACCTTGGCTTACGATTTCAGCGTGAGCAGCCCACACTTCAGAGTTATCTAAAAAACTAATATCAAAAATATGGCCACTTTGCACACACAAAAAGCAAACATGTGGAGTACGTAGCCTTAGCCTGTGAATAAATATTAAAGTTTGTTACTTTTGTTGCCGCTTGAGGCAATCAATTTTGACTGCTACTCCATCCATAGTCCTCAAAGCCTCCATCCATAGTTCAGTTATTCCTTTATTTAGTTAGTCTACGTTAAAATTTTTCTGAGCCCTCATAAAAAAGCTACTCATTCATTTCTCCCTGCTTATTCTTAACAAACCTAATCTATTTAAAAATGAATGAAATATAAAATTTAAAATCCTTCAAAAATATTAGTTGCATTTTGATGAGAATGTGGTTCTGAGAAACAGCTACTTCATTGTGGTACAATATTTACTTAAGTACATTTAAGCAGTTAATATTTTTAATATTATATACTAACATAAAAATATCTAACTGTAAAAAATGATGCGATAATTTATATGTAGTCAATTGAAGATCTACTATTAACGCCTATTATTATTTCACAGTGTTAAGTGTCATCATTCTAACCAATTATATCATCTAACACACATTCATGAAAACTTTCAACACCAAAATAAAGTCATAAAATAGAATATAATTTGGCAATATAGTATACTCTCATTTTTGCGGAGGGCAATAAGTAATTTGTTGCAATTTTTTGAAAAATAATGTAATATTTATACATTATCATTTTTAAATTATTGTGTGTGAGACCAATTAATTATAGTTTGAACAGTAAATAAAAGCCAAACCAATTTGCGCAGATTAATTATAATTTTTTTGCATAAATAAAGAACAAATATCTATGTGTGTGTATGTAATTACTCTTTTTTACATTAAAGTACAGGGATACCAAATATTTCAAATAGCCTAGTGACGAAATAAATATTTGTATAAATAAATTAATGTATAATATATATTTGAATATATGTAGATACTTATATATGTTTTACAATAAATGACTTTATGCACATATTTAATCAGATAAATACGACACAAATTATCATTATCAAACGCCATTTTGGTGCGGAAGTCACTGTAATTAACAGTATTGTTGTCTCTTTTTTTACACGTGTTGAATAGTTGAATTCATTACTTATTAAAATGACAGTGAACACATTTTTCAATTATGCAATATTAAACTTTTAATTTCTGCTAGCGTTGTAACAGATTAACAACTGTTAATCTACAAAAACAAATACATATCATAGAAATTTTAATTAGTGTAATAAGGGTATAGTCCTTTGACTGCTTTTAAAGAAGAAATTAAGGTAATATATTTCTTAACGATATAAAGTGCCATTTTAGAGCTGAAATCCATTCACGCTTGCCACGAACATACAATATTTTATCGACTTTATTTACTTATTACTTCGCAATAAAACAATTTTTACAGCGCTGTTATTACTAAAGCACTTAGCGTCGTGTCTATCGCACACACATATGCGCGTAGTCTACGTCTACAGTTTAAAAGGTCAACACACATAATTGCTGTCGAAATGGTAACTCATAAATTATTAGTCAACTTTTGCCTTTTTGTGCTTTGTCCATTTTTAACATATATGTTTAACCCGTATTTTTATTGCTGGTTTTACCTATTGCAAGTTGGCTTTACAGCAACACTTAGCTTGCTTAACTCAAACATTAAAAAACTGCAGCAATTAAATATTTGCTGAGCTGCGTCCAATGGCATTGCTACCGAGGCTACTGCGATTGAAATCGTGTGTTTTAATATTTTTATTTTTGTTTATGCTGTAAACAGTAAACAGTTACCAACAACTTTAAGCTTTCTCACCACATCAAGTTGAATTGTATAAGTATATGTGCGCCTCATCAACAGCAATGACAACGACAACAACAATAACATCATAACAACAAAAATAGATATTAAAGCAGCAGTATGAACTTTCAACATATCAAATTGAAAAATTGCATTCATTTGAGGTAGTAAAGTTATGTTTGCACACACACAAGTGTATAGTGGTGATGATGACGGTGTGGGCGATGATAGCTCTGATAGCTCTGATGATGGTGGTTATGGTCGCAGTAGTAGTAGTAGTAGTAACTCCAAATGAATAAATGCCAAACGGCGATTTATTTTTTTCTGCTAATGGTTTACTTCTGGTAAAGGTCACTCTGACTGCTTAAATACACGCCTGTGTGCTTGCGTTGGTAAACGTAAAGTGAA